GCAGTATCTAAAAAAACCTTTGTGGTAAAAGTAGCCGAGGTGGTATGGTGGTTAAGCACTCAGCTGCTAGCTGAAAGGTCAGTGGTTCGAACCCACCAGCAGCTCCTTGAGAGAAAGATGGAGCAGTCTGCTTTCATAAAGATTACAGCCTTGGAAACCCTATGGGGCAGTTTGACTCTGTCCTACAGGATTGCTAGGAGTCAGAATTGACACCAGAAGGTTTGGGTTTTTGGTTTGGTGTGCAGTTTATGTATGTCACAAATCGTCTGCCTGTTTAATATCCTTTATATGTACAATTCAGTGACATTCGTTATGTTTATCATGTGAATCATTAATAAAAGAGCAACAACTATTTACCTACCTTAAGAAAATTATGGATCAGGAGAAAAACCTATTTGCAGTGATTCAGCCACTATTTCTTTCTGTGAGCAATCACAGAATTGGATTGGTAATAAAATGTCCATTAAGTAAAAAGCATTAAGATGTTAACTTGAAGAGATTCATTAAGGGCCTCAAATTACTTACTCTGAAAGTTGTTTGGTTAAATGAAGGTCAGATTTTAGTCTAACATTTTTATTTTTCTCTTTTGACTAATTAGGTTAATAGTCAGCACAGACATCTTCCCACAGTATAGATTCTCACTAAGGTGGTCAGCTAAGAGACGGCAGGAAATATTTAGCACAAAAATCTTCAAGTAAATCTTCCCAAATGTTTCCTTTCCTACTCGGCATATGATCTGTCAGAGTATTCTCACTCTGCAGACCGTAAGATCTATGGAAGCAGCTGAAGCAATAATTATGCTTACAACTGGAATCTTAAAGGTAAGGCGATAGTATTTTATTTTTCTTATGGCAAAGCAATGGAACCATCCTCTTGATGGGAGGGAAAAACATAGAGGCCTCTATGTTGGGGACATGAGGTGTTCCAATAAAAATAGCAGTTTCTAAGCAGCAGCATTTTAAGAATCTTGCTGAAGGATCAAACAGGAAGAGAGAGACAAATTGTTTAAACACAAATAACTTTGACAATTAAAGAACTGGCATGACTAAGCCAAGAAAGACAAGTGAAAAGCAAAGAGAATGACACATGAACAAATTTAGGCCTCCAAACAGCTTTTATTTTTCACGGTCACAATCTAAGCTCCAAAGAACAGAAAGGTCTGCAGGACCTTGGCTGCCCTTCACCAGTTGGAAAGACACTGTGTTAGGGCAATTAATAAGTGCACTGTGTCCCAGAAGATCCCAAAGACGTAAGTTGTAGCCACCATCAACTAGCAAACAATCTGGGAGGCACTCTCAGCTCCAAAGGTCTGGAAATTTCACATGCAATCTGATCCCTTCCCCTGGCTATCAAAGGCAATACTACAAGAGAGATGGTGCAGAGTTTGTTCACTGTACCATAGAATTCCTTCCCAGGTGTGAGATCAGCACAAAAATCTTTATAAGCAACAGAAGCAAATGTTGCACACCATCACAATTTAAATGCGGCCTTTCCAAACTCTATCCTTGGTAATCAACTTGGTAGCTGTCATGGATTAAGTTGTGTCCCCCCAAAATATATGTCAACGTGGCTAGGCCAAGATTCTCAGTGGTTTGGCAAGTTATGCAGTGATGTAATTTGGCAGTTATATAGTGATGTAATTGTCCCCCATAAGGTGATCTGATGTGATCACGCAATCAGTTGTGTAAGGGGATTAGGATGGGATGCAGCACCCTTACTTCAGGTCACAGCCCTGATCTGATGTAAAGGGAGTTTCCTTGGGGAGTGGCCTATATCAATTTTTATTTTACAAGAGATAAAAGGAGAGAGAAGAAAGCAGAGAGACATGGACGTACTACTACCAAGAAAGAATAGCCAGGAGCAGAGCATGTCCTTTGGATCCAGGGTCCCTGTGCTGGGAACTTCCTGGACCCGAGGGAAGACTAATGTCAAGACACATGGAGACCTCCAAAGGACACCAGGCCCAGATGCTGAGGGACTTTAAAGAGGACCTTCCTCTTAAATTGTGAGCCAACAGAGAGAAAGTCTTCCCGAAGAGCTAGCACCCTGAATTCATACTTTTAGCTTTCTGGGAGAGAATAAAATTCTCATTGTTAAAGCCATCCACTTGTTCTAGCAGCACTAAAGAACTAAGAGAGTGGTCAAAAGTTACATACTCCACAGTATCCCTGGGACACTCAGCAGGCCAGATTTTCTGATACAGGCTCTTATTTTCTAAATCGCCCAAGGTTAATAGTGTGAGGGATGGACAACACAAGTTTGTGGAGAAGCAAAGGGCCCTAAGGTAGCACTCATTATCATTGGTCCAGCAGAATGCAGACTGCTCTGGTACACTACTTTTTTGCCCCCAGCAAAAGAAACTCCCTGGGCCACCTTCATCTAAAGCCATCAAGGTCTACCTACAAAAGAGAGTAAAACACGTTTTAAGGGTAACATTTGTAGAAAAGAAAAATGAAGAGGTACATAGGAAACATCTAAGGAAGGCTCACACTACTAAACTGCTAATCATGTGCAAGAAATATTATGAAACATGACGATTACAAAAACTAACATTTAAGCAGTATTCTATGGTTTACTAAGTGCTTGCCCATACATTACGTTATATAATCCTCCCAACCACCACTCTATGAAATGGTTGATATCACCTTCACCCCCACTTTATAGATGAGGAAAAGAGGCACAGAGAAATTAAGTAACTTGCTCAAGGTCACATAATAAATGGTTGACAAAAATAATGCAATTTCTCTAACTCAAAATTTCTTTTCAATATCTCATATTGAGTTTTCTGTTTACCATGTTACCATGGTGGCCCTGATACAATTCTATAGAAGGAAACATTGTGGAATGAAGGAAAAAGCCTTGGACTTGGAATTACAAAACTAGTGGTCAACTCTCAGCTCTGCCATTCAACAATGGTGGAACCTCCAACAATTTATAATGTTTTCAAGACTCTGTTTCCTCACTGGTAAAAAGTAAATTTTTAAAAAGTATATATTACTACCTACTTTATGGAGTTGTGATGATTAAAGAAGATAATATATATGAAAGAGCAGCACAAAGTTTGGCACTTAATAAATGTTGTCAGTTGTCATCAAGTCAACTTCAATTCACACAACCGCATGTGGACAGAGCAGAAATGCTTCATAGCATTGTCAAGACTGTGACCTTTCAGAAGCAGATCACAAGGCTTGTCTTCCAGGGAAAAAAGGAAACCTCTGTAGGCTTATCATCACCAGTATTCTGCCCTGATGTGGTCTTGGTGTGGTAAGAAGCCTTCAGACACAGCTCTTCAATAATCTCTTGGGAAAACTAACTAGGTCTTTGATACTTTCAGCATATACTCCAAGTCTATCTCATTGAAAGCAGGGATGCTGATGTAAGTATTTTCTACAAGTTAATCAGAAAAGTTTGAGGAATGAAAATGAACGTATAGCCTGACAAGTTTGGAAAGAGAAAGAAGAGGTCACAGTAACAGGCATCTGTTCAAGGTTCAGCCCAATCCTTTCTGGGCTATTCAGAAAAAGAAGAGGCCAAAAGCTTAAATCAGCTGCTTGATGCCCCTTGGGAAGAATAAGGACAGCAGCCAAGCCAGAAGCCACTGAAAGGAAGAGCAACAAAACAGGAGATAAAGCAAGCATAAAGGAAAGTGATCAAGGAAACAGGCCCCACATGAAAAGAAGCTGCCTGGAAAGCCTAAGTAAATACATGAATAAATAAACACAACATAAATTACACCCATATGCACTTCGTACTCTGGCCCAGAATCTGATGCTTCACTCAAGCACCCACATTTGTCATAGTGCCCTTTGGTCACAAAGGGATGTTTGGCAGAAGGCAGTTTTTAATTCCCAATTCTCACAGAAAATCACATTTATCATAAGACTTCACCACAGTATCTGGTTTATTTGCTTGGTGAAGATATGCATTTATCTGTCAGATTTACAAAATTGTGTTTGTTGCAAAAAGTCTCTGGGGATAGGTAAGGCAGACCAACTTCCGTGCAATCTTGTTAGCACATTTCACACCCACGCTCTCTCATCTCAGCCCTCCCCTCACACACATTTCACTTTTCCTTTTGTTCTCAGGTGTTTTAACCCTGTAGTAAATCACTGTAGGGGCAGGACACTTCACCTTCCAAAAAAAAAAAGAAAGATACAGAAACAAACCCTGCATCCCAGCTCTGTAAAACATTAAAATCTATACCAAGTTGTAAATGTGCATTAATATTACTGGAATGTCTGGCAAGGCTTATATTTGGAACTAAATCAAGTTCCCCATCTGTTGGGCTTGCCTCTTTTTCTCAACGTTAATTTTTCAATTGTTTGCAAGAACAATTTAATAACTGTTGAGGAAAATAGAAAATCATGGGCACAAAGGGAGCAACGAATGCAAGAAAAACGCAGAAGCAGATTTTAGAACACTGAAAGCACTTTCTCCTCTCCACCTACCAACAGCTCACTCCTGTAAGTGAGTGGTGTTTCAAGATCCCGATCACCTCCATGTCTGACACAATTTTATCTAATACATACAGCACTCTGTAATTGCCTTGCTATTTCACAGGGAAGCAAAAATGACCTAGCCCCATGGGTTCCCTTTGCCTCTGTTTACCACAAATAGAAATAACCACAGAAAGAAAAATGTCAGAATTCCAGATCCCCATGAGTCATTCTTTAAGTCATGGAGAACAGTAGAAAGAAATTTCAGACAAAAGCTTTCAGAGGGCCTATTCATAGAAAACACTTAGGCAACAGAGACAGCTGAAAAGACCATGTCTTGGTAAGAAAATTCATAGAACAGCAGCACTTTGAACTATTTCAATATGACAAAATAAAAGTCTCACGCACTCCTGCTTTTCTTGATCAAGTATGACAATTTCTTCTACTCCTACAGACACTGGGGCTTAAAATAGTAGTGGTGTTCAACATACACCACCTAAAAAGGTACAATAAACCTCAAGGTGAGCTAGAGAACTCTGAAAGAGAGAAATTCTCATTCCGTACCTGATATTAACCAATGCGTGGGTCACTTTGCTAGCTGCTTCTTTCCATTGGCCTGCGTTGGTAGAAAGCCTCAGGACTGCAAGGAAGGAAAGAACACAGATCTGTCAGGACCTCTGGTATAAAACTCAAATATGAAGAATGAAAAAAAATCTCAGAATAGCACTATTACAATTACTGAGCCTGTGCTAATCCTCTGTTAAAAACATACTGAACGATTTTCATGGGATATCCTACTTAACTGGCCTAATAACATGTTTAGTGTTCCTATTCTGCTTCCTAGTTGGTTGTATAATGCCTGGGATCTTTAAAAGCTTGCAAGTAACTATCCAAGCAATGACAATTGGTCTCTATGCACCTGGAGTAACAGAGGAAGAAGATGAGTGAGGAACAGGAGAAGGATATGGAATGTACGGCTAATTGCCTCCATGAACAGCTGTTTCTTTTGCTATAAGATCAGAAGAACTGAATGGTACTACCATAACTGAACATCTTTATCAAGGATTCTACAGAAGCATCTTGATCAAAAGGGGGAAATGCAGAACAGAATTTCAAATCCTCATGGAATCCAGACTTTCTGGTACCATGGAAGATGGATGAACCCTTGAAACTATTGTCCTGAGATAATTTTTAAAAGTTAAACCAAAAATAGCCCCTGAAATCTTCTTTGTTTTTTCTTTTTAGTATCATTTTTAATGGAATCTCATGAAGCAGAACCGATGAACAAGTGTTGTGTGTAGTTCATTATTAAAAATAATTCTTAAATCTTGAAAACTAGTAGGCAAATATATTCATCTAAAACATTCATTGGGTGCCTTCAAGCCAATTTTGACTCATACTCACCCCATGTTACACAGCAGAATTGCCCCAGAGGTTTTTAAGTTTTATTGTGATTTGGGTGAAAGTTTACACAGCAAATTCATCTTCCATACAGAAGATCACATATACTCTGTCTTATGACATTGACTGTAATCTCCCACAATGCAACAGCTTTCCTTCCATTTCCTCCCCATAGCCTCTTCTTCCCCTGTGTCCTTCCCTCCCATGCACTCCTGCCCCCAGAGCTGTCTCTCTGTGCATACACGGCTCTTCTATTCTGCCATGATCTCTCCAATGAGTGATCCTAATGCAAATGTTCAGCTCATATGCCTGTCTCGTTTGGCTGGAAGCCACAAGAGTGGGTTCAATTCCAGATCTGAAGGTCAGCTAGGGGCCACAGTCTCAGTGGTTCCATCAGGCTCTATCAGACCAGTCCCCCTTTTTTTTTTTTTATGATTTTGAGTTTTGCTCCATATTGTTCTCCCACTCTGTCCAGGTTCTCCTACAAAGATCTCCCTCTGAGTGGTAGCTGGGCACCATTTAGTTCTTTTGGTCTCGTAGTTGTATAGGCGGAGGATCACATGGTGTACCAGTTGCTTAGACTAACTGTTCCCTGAAGTCTTCATAAAACCAAACAGTTGTTTAGCTAAACTAGTAAAAAAATGTCTGCCTTGAGCATTATGTTCTTTTAAGAAGTATCTATAAGGGATCAAAGTGGCAGCAGCTCAAAAGATTAGATAAGAACCTTGAGGGGCGGTGAGTTTATGTTAATGAGGGAGGAACATCTCAGAAAAGGAGGGTGAAGACCACTGTACAACTTGAAGAATGTAATCAATGTCACTAAATGGTACATGTAGAAACTGTTCAATTAGTGTATGTTTTGCTATGTAAGGGATCTCTGGTGGCGTAGTGCCTTAAGTATTTGCTAACCAGAAGCCTGGCGGTTCAAACCCACCAGCCACTCCCTGGAAGGAAGACTAGGAAATCTACTTCCATAGTGATACTGCCTCAGAAACCCACGGAGGGGTCACTATGAGTCGGATCCGACTTGACGGCAGTGAGTTAGGTTATTTTTTTTTTGTTTTGTTTTGCTGTGTATATTCTCAACAACAACAACAAAAATACAACTTAATGAAAACAAACATCCTCAGCCTAGAGAAAATGTAAGAGTGTATAGTATTCTCTCAATTATTTTTACAGTGAGTTCTTTCTCTAACTTATTCTCATTTTCTATCAAACAACTATACTCTTTTTCCTCCTCATTTTTTTTTTCCTGCTAACAGGGTTCTGTGACTTAATTTTTCTACTTATTTAAAATCAGCACTGATGTGAGGATGTGGGGGCAATCTGGCTGCCAAGTTTATCATTCCCCTAATGGCTGCCACTGATTTAGTGGAACTACCTGTCTGAGTTGGTGTCCCCTCCTGCTTCTTGTATCTTTCCCCTAAAGGTGCAAGCTCAGTCAAACAGAACAAGTAACCTTTTCAGACAGAGGATGATCATATTTCAATCAAGGAATAACTTGTTTCAATTCCTCTGACTTAACTGTGTGACCTGCAACATGAATCAACAGGCATCTTCTCTTCTTTAGCCAAGTTCTATCTCTTTACCAAACAACTACAGGAGAGATGACAGAAATAAACAACGTATCTTCTATAAGCCTACAAGTTTCAGGGCCACATATCCAAATATCTGTGCCATTTCATAAAGGAGACAAGATAGCAAGACTGTTCCTTGAAAGAAAGCACATGGTGAGCACTGCAAATACATTTTCTTAATGAATGAATAGCTTATAATAGCTGAAGATGTGGAGAGTTTACTAGGTGCCAAGCATTGGACAAAGTCAGGCTGTCTGCAATACAGTATACAGATGAGGAAATGAAACACAGAGGAGACAAGAAATTGACTCAAGTCATTCACACAAGCTGTAAGTGATGGAGCTGGGATTTGAACCTGAAGAGAACAACTTTAGAGCCTGTACTTATGTCGAATAGTGGTTAAGAGCATGAATGCTGAAGTTAATCGTCAGGGTAGAAGTCCAGCCCCTGACACTTTAATAGAGAATAGTAACAATACTTAACATGACACGATGATTATGAGAATTAAATGAGTTAATACATATAATTATTAAATTAGTGCCTAGCATATAATAAACACTATGTAAGTATTAGCTAAAATTAATTTAAATAGACTGCCTCCCAAATGAATGAATGTACCTGAAACTTTCTCAAAAGAAGGAAAATGAAACATAAAAGAAAAACCCAAACTCACCATCATCAAGTCAATTCCAACTCACAGCGACCCCCATTGGATTTCCAAGGCAGTAAATCATAAGTAGATTAGCCAGTCTTCCCTACATGGAGTGGCTGGAGGGTTTGAACCACTAATTTTCTGATTAGCAGTCAAATGCCTTAGGCACTATGCCTAAGAGCTAGATTCCCTAAATAACACTAAGAAATGCATGACTGATTTGCATAGACACTTCCTATCTGAGCACCATCACTATCTACTCCTGATCCAGGATTCCTATAGCAAGAAGAGCAACAGCAGCGGCACTCTCAGAGGGAGGGCCTATGGCTGTGTGAGGAAAAGCAAACTCATCCGGCTGTTCTATGTCTGTTCTCACAATGCCTCATTTTCATAAATTCACATAATTTTATGAAAGCAATGATAAGATGGAAGCTTTAATAAAACATATTATCAGAGTGCTGCTTTTCTAATTTACAAGATTTCAGGGAACTTGGTATAGTTCCAAGTTAGAGCTCTCCAGTCTGAACTCAGCTTCACTCAGTATATGTGCAAATTTATTCACGTGATGGACGAAACTGTTTCAGGAGCCCAGACATTTATTTTTCAGCTCAGTTGTAAAATCTCCTTAGGTGCACTGGTTTACCACTACTACTCTACTAGAAAGTAAGTTCTCTGCTAAAAGGAACCTAAACATTTATAGACTTGAACTGAATTTAACACCTCCCCACAATTTCAGAGACATGTTTAACTCTGTCCACGGATTACGTCTCTGTAACACTCTGTCAGCTTTGTTCATTAGTGAACAGACACCCAGATGACCTCATCATTGCATTTTCTTTGGAAATGTCATAGGCTTTTACACTCTTTTCTAAGCTACCAATTCAAACACACAATTATTTCCAAATGCCCTAAAGGCCTCAAGCATATTATGGTACACAAAAATAACATACTATGCAACTATTAAAAAAAGGAACTTAGGAAAATTACAGAATGATTAGGAAAATGTTTTATGATATGGTAAATTAAAAAACACAAAATAGTATACCATGATTATAACTATGCAAAAAATATACAATGCAAACAGCAGTAGTATGAGAATGGGAAAATTACAATTTTTTTTTTAATTGTAATTTGGGTGAAAGTTTAAAGAGCAAATTCATTTTCCATACAACAGTTCATACACATTTTGTTTCATGACATTGATTGCAATCCCTATAATCTAACAGCTCTCTTCCCACTTTCTCCTTGTGGTTACCTTTTCCTTGAGTCCTTCTTTCCTATACATCCCTGCTCTCTGAGCTATCTCCCTATGTAACTACTTCTTTCTGATGTCCCATGGTTGCTTGTTCTAAGGAGTGTACCTCTCTGGTATAAAAGTTCACCTTATACGCCACGCCTATCTATTGTAGGATAGGGAGGAGGAACTGACCTCACAGGTACATGAAGGAAATTTTTGGAGAGATAAAACTCTTCTATATCTTTATTTTGGTGTTAAATACATTACTACATGCATTTGTCAAAACTCAGAACTGTACAGGAGAAAGAGTAAATTTTACTATACATAAATTATACTTCAAAATACCTAAATAAGCATGGAGGCTTAAAAGCTCATGAGTGAAATGGTACAACCACTTTGGAAAATAGTATGGTATTTCCTCAAACATCTAGAAATAACATATGATCCAGCAATCCCTCTACTAGGTATATAGCCTAGAGAAGTAAGAGCACTAACACAAATAGACATATGCACATTCATGTTCATTGCACCATTATTCATAGTAGCAAAAAGATGGAAACAAGCTAAGTGTCCTTTCATGGATGAATGGATAAGCAAAATGTGGCATTATCACTGTAACGGAATACTATACAATGATAAAAAACAATGATGACAAATAAAAAGCAGCTGTGTTTCTATACATCGACAATGAGAAATCTGAAAGAGAAATTAGGGACATAACTCAATTTACAACAGCATCTAAGAGAATTAAATGCCTAAGAACAAATCTAACTAGAAACATACACAAATGCCTTCTTTGCCTTGAGACCAGAACTGGATGGCATCCAGCTACCATTACTGAACATTTTGGTCAAAGATTCCACAGAAATATTCTGATCAAAAGGAGGAAGATAAAGAATAGAATTTCAAATTATCATGGACTCTAGACTTTCAGGAGCCTTTCAGGGTTGTTGAAACCCTGAAATTACTGTCCTGCCATAATCTTTATACCTTAAACCAAAATATCCCCTGAAATCTTAAAAGCAAACAATAGTTTGCTTAACTAGTAGAAAAGGTCTGCCTTGAGCATTACACTCTTTTAAGAACTATCTATATGAGATAAAAAGGAGCTCTAGTAGAGCAGTAGTTAAGGCATTTGGCTGCTAACCAAAAGGTTGGTGGTTCAAACCTATCAGCTGCTCCATGAAAGCTTTTAAGACCCTAGTCGCTACTCACCAATGTAAGTTGTGGAACAAGATTTTATGTTTTGTGTGTGTGTGCCAACTGAGTCTGGTGTCCTCTGAAACTATGGTCCTGGGTTGATAGATCCATTGGATCTCTCTCCCACAGTGTCTGGCTGTCTATAAGGGATGGCTCTATGTCTGTCTTCTGTTGTTTCTGTAATGATTGAGGGTATTTGTATCCCTGGAATCTGTGCAAGATTAGCCCCAGCTGAATCTATCTTTAGTCTAGAGTATAATCCTGTTCACTGACCCCCATCTGATCTTCTCAGTTGTCTATGTATTTATCTGTAGCCTGGTATTTGGTGTTAATGGTAATGCAGTATTGTGAATATATTAGTATTAGCCTCTGTTGTCTATATCTTATGTACACAATTCAGTGTTCTCCCTTTCAGCAATGTTATTATGCTAGTCACAGCCTCTTTCCATATCATCCCTCCCCCTACCCACCTTAGCGTGTGGCTTCCAACTAGCCCGAAATTATCTCCTCCCCTACTTGCCCCCCAGTAACCTACAAAGTGAGTTCCCTCCCTAAGCAAACCCTTCCTTGGCTTTTTACAGTAATGGGCTCATACAATATTTGTCTTTCTGCAACTGACTTATTTCACTCAGCATAATGTCCTCTAGGTTCATCCACGCTGTGAGATGATTCACGTATCCTTCATTGTTCTTTAAGGTAGCATAGTATTCCATTGTGTCAGTGTACCATAGTTCAGTTATCCATTCTTCTGCTGATGGACATCTAGGTTGTTTCCATCTCTTTGCTATAGTTAATTGTGGTACAATGAACATGGGTATGCATATGTCTGTTCTTCTCCCAGCTCTCACCTTTTTAGGATATATTCCTAGTAATGGAATTGCTGGTTCAAATGGTATTTCTATCTTCAGTTTTTTTAAGGAAACGCCATACTATTTGCCACAATGGTCGTACTATTTTACAGTACAGCAGTGTATGAGAGTTCTAATCTCTCTGCAACCTTGCCAGCATTTGTTATTTTTTGTCCTGTTGAACTTTGCTATTATTGCTGGGGTGAGAAGCTATCTCATTGTTGTTTTGATTTGCAACTCTCTAATGGCTAGAGATCACGTATGCTCATTATTTCGACTGTTATTTCAGATGCATGATATGTGTCAAAACTTCAAATTATATACTTTAAACATTACCATTTTTCTGATCTTTCAAGGGTAGAATTGACATGGCTCTCCACACAAACTTATGGACATGCTTGCCTTCCTTCAGAAATACCAAGAAGGATCATATTTTTTCTCATATAATGTACCCACATAAATAATGTACACACACACATAACACTTATAGTACACACAGGAAACTAACATGTGAGGGGGTTGGGCAGTTTGTAAAAAACATACAACACACACATTATTTGTGTGAAAATACAGTATGCTGTACTCATTTTGGCTGCAGAGAGAATTTTCAGTGAGCTAATCAGAGACAAATTTACATGAAAGATCTTCATCTAATGTCCACTTCCTCTTGTAAGTTATTCTAAAAATATAAAGGTTCATTAAGACTCCTTAAAATCCTGTACTTCTCAAATCACACAATTTTTTCCCCCTCCATTTGGTATCTTTGGGATCCAACTCCTTTATTTGCCGCTGTCAATTCCCAACCACTATTTAACCTCCATCTCACTGACACTAAATCCACAAACCTTTCCATTCTCTCTTTCACACACATCAACAAAGGGCTACAGGGCTGCTAACAGACTTTCCAATGAGATAAAATCTAGTTCCTGAAGGCAACAAGCCCACATACCCAAAAAGAGAAGAGTACTATGTTTCTATGCCAAGCAAGGGTACTGGGCCACTAGAGGAGAATCTTTTGTAGCTTTTTCCTGTTTCATGCCAAAAAACAAACAGTTGAAGGGGAGAGAGTAATGAAAAGAAAAGACAGCTTACCCATGGAGTAGAGGTTGTCAAAGCTCTGGTGCATGCGGATAATCTCATAGTAGAGTTCATCATAGCTGCTGGGGGTGGGCAAGAATGTGTCTCCATATGTGATAAACATATTAAATAGGTTCACAATCTAGAAAAGAAGCAAAACCCCCATATACAGGCATCAGACTATGAAGACCATGAGGGTATAATCAGTGGTATGCTGGAGATAGCTCTTACTGACTTACAAAAGCTGATAGTTAAATTTTCAGGAATTCTGTGAGCTGGCTGTTAAACACAACAATTATTAAAAATCAATGTACATAAACTTACAGTTAAATAAATTACATTAAAATAAAGGCAAGAAATACTAAAAAGTCACCACTTCCCAATTATTTTCTACCTTTTACTGTTACCTATGCTCTTGAGATTAATTTATATCTCATATCTTTATGATCGGAATACTGTATAACAGTACGCTATCAAATATCTCATTCCAGATCTGCATTCAATGATGTCACATGGATAGCCTGAAATTGGCCATATGAGAGCAGTTACACCACAGAAATTGTAGAAAATGCTACAAACCAGGGCTTTTTCCCCCCAGAGAGCCAGTTGCTGAACATTTACCAAGACTCCACTGGGTACTATCCTAAGAAGATAGTTAAGAGGCACAATGACCTCCTTCTATCCCAAATAATCAGCCAGATAATCAGGCATCTGTAATGTCCCTAGGGCATCAAAAGCAACCACGATGCAACCACTCATCTGACTAGGACAGCTCTTAGAGACTTTGCTATTTACCAACATAGAACTATAACATCACAGTACAGTCTTAAATGGAATCAAGGTCCTCTGCTCATGCAGAGATTTGATCTGACCCTCCCCTGCCAGACAACACACTCTCATAAAGGAGAAAAAAGTCCCAAGCTTGCCAAAGACAGAGGCAAAGAGTGGGGAGCACCAGTCGAGAGATTCTGATCCAAGAGGAAAATATAAGCCTGGTTCTCCCTGTGGCTTAGTTCCCCTACTACCAGCTCCTGTTTCAAACCAGTCCACCTTTGCTTTAGGGTATGACTTCAGAGAAAGAAAGAAAAAAAAAATTTCATTACTCACCATAAGGGCTAACGTAAAAATGTTGTGTTTGGCCAAAAGTACAGTCTCATTTGACATAAGGAACTTCAGCAAATTGATCAAGGCTTTAAAAAAAAAGAGAGAAAAGAAAAGAAAAGAAAAAAAAGACATTAACAAGCTATTTGCATAATCAATAAGGTTCAATGAAAGCAGACTAGTTCTACAGAGACCAGACAGAGCTAGAATGAGTATCAGCTGCCAAGGACTTTTAAAAAGCTGGTAAGATGCTAGTGCTAGTTTGCTGCCTAGTGCCTGAGGTCTTAAAAGCTTAGGAGCCCCATCCAAGACATGACAATTAGTCTCTATTTGCCTGGAGCAATAGGGGAAGAAGGGGAGTCAGGGATCAGAGGCTATGGAATGGGTGACTAATTGCCTCTATGAACAACTACCTCCTTTGCCATGAGATGAGAAGAACTGGGTGGTGTCTGGCTATCATTACTGAACATTTTAATTAAATATTCCATAAAAGAAATCTGATCTAAAGGGGGGAAATATAAAACAGAATTTCAAATTCGCAGGGACTCCAGACTTTCTGGAGCTATGGAGGCTGGATGAACCCCTGAAACTTGAAACCGATATAGCCCCTGAAGTCCTCTTAAAACCAAACAATAAACCAAAAAAACCCAACTCATTGCCGTCGAGTTGATGCTGACTCACAGCGATCCCTCCTTGGGTTTCTGAGGCGGTATCTCTACAGAAGTAGACTGCCCAACCTTCCTTCTGAGGTGTGGCTGTGGGTTTAAACCGCCAGCCTTCTGGTTAGCATGTCTTAGGCACTAGGCCACCAGAGCTCCCAACTGTTCAGCTAAATAATGAAAATACGTCTGCCTTGAGCATTGTGGTCTTTTAAGAACTATCTATATAGGACCAAAGTGACAACAGCAACTCGAAAGTTTAGACAGGAACCTTAGGGAGCAGTGAGCTTATGTTAACTGGGGAGGAACAATTCAGAAAAGGGTAGCAGGAATGGCTGCTCTGCTCGAAGAACATAACCACTGTCACTGAACTGTACACATAGAAACTGTTGAATTGGTGTATGTTTGCTGTGTATATTCTCAACAACAAAGTAAATTAAAAAAAAAAAAGTAGGTAACGTAGGTATGTTTGAAGAAAGCACTGATATTCCCAAGCAACTATCTGCTTATCTGCCCATAAAAGGTTTTTTAAAATCGACTTCTTTTTGCCACTTCTTAAATAGCAATTAAGCTCAGAAATTTGACTATAAAACTGACATTTTAGTGTTCCAAATTTACTCCCACATGGTGATTTCCCCATCAAATCTGCTCGATTTACAAGTCAAAATGAGGGTCCCCCTCCTACCCTAGGCTGCTAACGTCTCATGTAACCAAGAATTAGCCCTGGTATCTGTTTCAAACATCACTGCTAAGAAGGACATCTATCTATTCCACCTGGTCACGAGGTGCATCAACTATACTGGACAACCTACAACTGGCCTTCAGCTCTGAGTGAAAAGAAAGCTTCCAATGAAAAAAAGCTTTGCTGTTCTAATTGTTCAAACGAAAGTGCAGCTTGCGCTATTCTCTCTTGACAGAGACAACACTTACCGAAAAGGTCCCTTCTCTGCCTGGCAATTCTTAATGAGGGGAGAAATTGCTAAAACCCAAGCAATTCCAGTAAAGAAACTGACTGCCAAGTCTCTAGGTTAACGGTACAGCTTTAAAGATATTTCTGCAAACAACACTGTATAACATGGATGAACTTGGAGGACATTATACTGAATGAAATAAATAATAGTGTATTTGTCAAAGAAGGACAAATATAGTATTAGTTCATTATTGTAAAAAATCAAAGAAAGGTTTATATATGGAAGGAAATTTTCTTTGTTGGTTACCAGAGGTGGGAGGGGAGGGGAGGGAACACTGAGGGAGGGGAAAAAAAAAAAAGCACTGACCCATGTCACTTTAGTTTTGTGTATTTCACTGTACATAAATTATATTTCAAGAAAATGTATTTTAAAAAAGACATTTCTCCAGACACTATGCTGAGTGAAATAAGTCAATCACAGAAGGACAAATATTGTCTCAGTCCGTTATTGTAAAAGTCAAGGAACGGTTTATATATGGAAGGAAATTTTCTTTGTTGGTTACCAGGGATGGGATGGGAGGGGAGGGAACATTGTTAGATAGGTAGAGATAAGTATTGATTTGGGTGAAGAGAAGGGCAAGGTACCAAATGTGAGTGATCAATATGGTGGCACTGAGGAAGAGGAAGACATAGAGAGGTACATGGGAGGTACAGAGAACAAAGATGAATCCTTTTGCACATACAGTACTGCGTTGTCAATAAAGGCAAACACGGGTATACAGGTGGATAGATGGGTGGGCAGGCTGAACTATTAGGTATGTCTATGTAGCAGGGAGTGTACCCAAGACCACATATAGGGTTGGCAGACAATGGTTCTATAAGTGTTTTTATATGTTTTGTAAGAATTCCCAGGGGTATAGTAGAGCTGACAAGGGACAAGGTCATAGTCACTTCTTGGTCACAGCTAGCCACCCAGAGGGAGTAGTTGAACCTGTGGGCTCAGGACCATAGTCGCAGGGGACATCTAGTTCAATTGGCATAGCATACTACACAAAACATTGTTCCACCTCCTACTTTGGCAAGTAGCAGGTGGGATCTTAAAAGCTTGCAAGCAGCCATCTAGATGCAACAATGGGTCTCTGCTTGTCCAGAGCAAAGAAGAATGAAGAAAACCAAAGATTCATGGAAACAATTAGTCCTCATGACTGGTACACCATACAATCCTCAGCCTATATGACTATGAGACCAGAAGAACTAGATGGTGCCTAGCTACCATTGTCAACCACTTAGAGAGAGATCTACGTAGGAGATCCTGGATAGAGAGGGAGAACTATGTGGAACAAAACTCAAATCATTTGGGGGAAAAAAAAAAGTGTGGGGGGACCAGGTTTGCTGGTCTGATAGAGCTTGGTGGAACCACTGAGACGATGGCCCCTAGCTGCCCTTCAGGTCTGGAACTGAACCATACCTGTGGCTTCTAGTCAAACAAAAGACAGGCATATGAGGTGAGCATTTACACTTGGCAGATATACTCCTTGGAGAGAATAATCATGGAAAAATAAAAGGGCTGTGTGTGCACAGAGAGACAGCTCAGGGGGCAGGAGTACATGGAGGGAAGGACACAGGAAAGAGGTAACTATCGGGAGGAGGTGGGAGGGGAGCTCTTGCATTGTGGTAAATTGTAGTCAATGTCATGAGACAACGTGTGTGTGAACTGCTGTATGGAAAGTGAATTTGTTCTGTAAACTTTCACCCAAATCACAATAAAATAAATAAATAAAGAAAAGACATTTCTCCAAATAAATTTTAGGCATAAAAGAATTATCAGGTGACTTGTTCTCTTTTACTCATGTTGTCTGTCCATGAAATAAATCCTGCTTCTGTGTCCATCCTGAACAATGTCCCTATACCCAGCTCCCCTAACTTGATGGGAAACGATAAAGAAGGGGTGCAGCAACTGCAAGCAATCTGTAGTGCTTCTGGGTTCTCCCCTCCAATCCTCCTCGCTTTCTATGGATCCAAGAAAGGATGGACCCTATCTTTTCTAGATCACATCTGCTTCCCTATCAGCAGATGAGAACCACTTTGCTGAGCTGAGGTGTGTGTGATTACAACTCTTACAGTACAGATGTGGGCTCAGATCTGGAACAGCAGGGAATGATGAGTAGGAGCAGGACTCTCCAGACACTCACTGCTCGCCACACAACACCCCTCACTCTCCATCCTCCAAACACACAGGTACAGTAAGAAACAGCAGACAAGGAAAGTACAAGAGCCTGGCTTCAAGTACATCGTTTCTAAAGCCTAAATCTCCCTGCTCAAGTACCCAAAAAAGCCTTCCGAGGGATGGGAGACAGAATCCTCATACGAACACTTCACCCCTGCCCTGACTTCAGTTCTCTGGGGTCTCATAATGACAGGCAGCTGGCCCTTTTGATATTCTCTGGTAATTGATCTGTTGGATGGGACAGGAAAAAAAAAAACTCTATGGGAATCCATTTTGGATCACACACCTGTTTAGCTCCTGCCAGGAGCTCAGGGAACAAAAAGGACTAGCTAAAATCTAAATACATTTAATTAACCCCTGCCCAAAGCACCTCCCTTAATGAAGATCACCTTGTTGAGTTATGTAACGGCTGCCCATCCATCCCCTAATCACAAGCTTATACAAGCCCTGTTAATGGCAAACCACCTGACAAACTATCAACTCACAAAAGACAAGAGAAGGGGATGTGTGGTGCAGTGAATTAGATGGATGGCTCTTCTAGCCATGGTCTTTGTGGCACCAACCAGATGCCTAAGTGGAACTATGCAGATATAAAGTGCTCGTGGCCCATGAAAGGGATTGGATAGCTAGTTATAACGTAAATAAAGTACATGGCACCCTGTGGGGGTGGAACTGTGGAGATAAGGTGTATGGAACCCTAATGTGGGGATTGGTCAGTTTTGTCATTTCGCTAGGCTTAAAATGAGCCCTCCCGAGGTGTACAAGGGGAATCTCACTGCCATCAAGAGAGAGAAGCCGACAGTGGAGTGTGTCCTTGGACCTAAAATCGCTGTGCTGAGACGACAGCAGAGAGATGGTGGCAAAAGAATCAAGAGACAAAGCCGTAGGCCTTCTGGCCCAAGAAGCAAGAAAGCCAAGTGCCAGGAGGTTTCCTGGCAGAGTGGGGTGCACCTATCAACAGAGTTCAAGAGCTCTGTAAGACTTGACTGTGCCACGGCAGAGGCGAGGCCAAAGGGAGACTGACCTAATCGAATCGTATCCTGAGCACATTCCTGAACCTCAATTGTAACCTGTTACTTCACTAATCAGGAATATTGTCTATTACTTCTGTGTGGCCACTGCAACAAATGATCAAACCCAACAGAGAAATAATGAGTGCTGTGGGAGGAACGGTTGGTGTCAGAATTGGTAAGAAGGTTCAAGGGTGGCAGCATGTCTGACTTCTGCCTCATAGGAATCAGCCTTGGGCCACTGATGGTGATTTTCTCCCCCTTGTAGAAGGCAGACGAGGTC